AAAATCTTGGTAAAAAATACCAAATTCACTGAAACTACATTACTCCCCGGTCCCCTAATAGATATCAACATATTAATAATGTTTTTCAAAATATGTTGTAACACTTTTTTTTACATAATTGATTGATACTTGCATCAAAATTATTTGAAAAAATTCATATTTTAAAAATATTTGACGCATTTTTATTTACGTACTAAAGAAAATGAATTATGTTTCCAGTTTTTCTTCAGAGTTGGAAACATATAGTAAATAGAATGGGTTAAAGAAAATGTAATTTTGTAATAAACTAACAAAAAGCTAGAGTAAAATCTTTAATAAAACTGGTAAATAATATTAATAATAACAAAAATAACATTAGGAAGCAATTTTTTTTTCTCCATTGCATAAGATTTTCGTAACGGATCTTAGATTTCATGTCACTGATTTCAAATTTAAAGTCGGTTTCTCTCTCTCAGCTATAGCTTTTTTTTAAATGACATTTTTACAGTCGATTTTTTGTCGAAATGTACAAGTTTAAAAGCGTTATTTATAGTAGGGGTAATATAAATGTTGCGGCAAAGTTCTAGGGGAGTTAGGGCAGATAATCCGAATTTAAATTGTGTAGGAATCCATGGCTAAAAATATCGTCATACTCCTCTAGGGGCACTTTCCTATTACGAAGTGTTTCTTTGAGTGCTTCTGAACAGATCATAACAGGGAAACGCCTTTCGCCGCGTAAGACTACATTTCAGGGGATGGTTTCTTATGCAATTTTAATCCTGATAATGTGCTTAAACTATGCAAGAAATTCGTGGCAACATTTATGCAATTCCCTGTTGTATATAACGTTTTTTAACTTGTACATTTCCACAAAAAATAGACTAAAAATGTTATTTAAAAAAGTCTGTAGATTTAAGAGCACAACTAATATCAGATTTGCAATCACCACACCTGAATATGCAAGATCAAATATTTGCTTAAATGCAACAATTTATTCCTCAGTGTTACTTATACTAACTCATGCATATTATAGTTGTGATATTAAATAATATTTAGGTAAATAATATTTAAGTAAATAACATTAAATTAATATATTTCTCAATGGAAAAATTTTCAGAATTTATTTTAACTCTGGCGGGGATAATCATATCAAACCACAACAGTAATTCAATCTGTCATTAGCTTATCATTCTGTCATGTTTTTTTACGATTTTAAATTTAAAAAAAAAATATTGATATTGATAAATAACGTGTAACTGATATTTCATTTATCAGTTATACTTGCAGAATGACACTTAAAACTTACTTTAAAGTAAAAACAAGAATTTAACAGAAATGTATTTGTAAACCTAGGTAAACTATCTGAACTCTAAACTAATTTTCTTACCATGTTTTATCCTGTGAATCAAAAAGAAGAATTTCGTGAAATCAATTGTTTCAAGCTCCAGTTGCTCATTTAATAGTGTAAAATATGTTTCAAAGGATAGAAGAGTATTTGATCAATGAAAAGATGAATATTCCTTTAATCTTTTTTGTTCATCTTTATTTAGTAAATGAGAAATAGAAAGAAAAATGTTTTTATATTTGTAAGCATTTTGTTTTAGAAGATAGCAGACTCGTAATTATTTGTAATGGTTTTCTACTGTTACAATCCAAAACAAAAATTGGTTTCATTTTAGTCATTTTAAAATTGTTTTAAACTTCTTTTTCCTTTTTAGGCCATGCATTAAAATATGTTTTTAAGTTTATACAACTTCTTTACCATTACTGTAAAATGAATAACTATCTAATACAAAATTATTTCTAATTCAAATTAAAGTTATTTCTAATCTTAATAAATTCTAATTTCCAATTTAATTTTGAATAAAATGTCTTACATTAAAATAACTAGTTAATTAAATACACATAAGAAATTTATTACTGTGACGGAGGAAAAGGAAAAACTTATTTTGCATAAATATTGGCTTTAAAACAGGGGGGAAAAGATCTTTTTTTAACGTTAAATTCTATAAAACTTAAAAATAATTGCCTTAAAACAAATATTTTTCTAAGTATAATATTTAAGCTATATTTTATTATAGAATATCCTTTTGAACTTAAAATTTAAAAAAGGGAAAATTTATTCAAGAATGATTTTCTATTTTGAGCAATTGTTTTTGAATGAAATCAACTATTATATAAATCGAAATTTCTTTTCTTTTAAATTGTTTAATAATCGTTTTAAAAAGGCCTCGTTAAAAGTAACATATATCTACGACAGTAATAAATAACTAAATGTTAAAAAAAGCATGTTGACTTACAACGTTAAGCTCTTCTACTAAAAATTTTACAGTTATAACACACATATACTTAATAACATTAATAAGTCAATGAATAAAATTAATTAATATGATCAATCAACCCAATAAATCAATTTTAGAAAAATAAATTCATAAATTTAGCTTGAAGCCAAAATTTTTTTTTTAGAGAATGAGTCACTGTAAGGAAAATTTACTAATATTGGTTTAGAAATGATTATTTAATAATTATCATTCTAGTATTTTTTCAAATATTTTTGTGTAACAATGGTTTTCAATTATCTTTCTTCTAATAGAAATTTTTATAAGGATTTCCTCAAATTTAGATTAGCAAAATCTATAATATTTAAAATTTTTCTATTATGTACTTCGCTCATGACTTGTTGTTGATATGTACTCGCTATATTTTACATTTTATTTAATACTCTAGACTCTATTTAAAATTTTTATTTTTTTAATACATTTAGGAAAGACGAAACACAGAAAAAATTTAAAAATAATACCGTTTTACTTAAAAAAAACTGCTTTCAGAAAGAAGTAAATAACACAATTGTAGTTTAAGTAGTTAAATATTTTCATGAAACACTGAGATAAAACTCTCAAAAATAATGTTTAATACTTCATTGTAAATACTTCAACTTTAATTATTTATCAAAGATTTTACAATTAAAAGAATTTGAATTAATTAATTTAATTTTTTTTCTTACTTATAGATTTTATATCATACATTCACTAGTTGAAACTTTCTAAAAAATAAGAAAGCATATCAAGTGAAAGAAAATTTTTAAGCGATTTTCCAACTTATTATCTGTGCCATAGTATCCAACTCATAACTCTTTAGTTGTTTATATGAGACCGAAACATAATATTTGTAATATAGCATGCAACTAAGGAGTTTAGAGTTTTTTATATCGTACACAAATTTATTACTTAAGAGGTAGCATCTGAATCATACTTTCATTTTTGTTTATCTCTGATACGAAGCAATTATTTGTGACATTTTAGTTTAATAGCAAATGTTTAAGCTTAACATTTCTGTTTTACAGTTTTTCTGCTAACAGTCTGTTTTTCAGACAAAATGAACCTTTACGACTAAAGATAAATTCACAAGATTTAAATTTTAAATTACATCCAATATTATGTGAATTAGCACTAAACTTTATTAAAGTAACACAATATTTTTGTTTTATGACAGAAGGAATCCTTACGACGAAAGATAAATTCACAAGATTTGAATTTTAAATTACATCGTATATTATATAAATCAACACTTAACTTTTTTAAAGCAACGCAATATTTTTGTTTTACGACAGAATGAATCCCAACAATGAAAGATAAACTCACAAGATTTGAATTTTAAATTACATCGAATATTATGTAAATCAACACTAAACTTTTTAAAAGCGACACATTAATTTTGTTTTATGACAGAAGGAATCCTTACGACGGAAGATAAATTCACAAGATAAAATTCAAAGTCACATAATGATTAACAATGACATTTAACTATTTATACTATTATCAATATCCCTTAATAATAAACCTCTATTTAGCTTAATATTTTTAAATTTACAAAACTTTATTACTAAAATTTTTTATTAATCAGTAATGCAATAAATTTTGATTTAGTAATTAAATGAGCACATTGAACATATCAATATAAAGAATCTGGTAACCACACATAACTAATACCCACACATAACCAATGCCTACACGACAAGTTAGTACTGTGCTCTTTTATTGAGTTCCTCCACATTAACGAACTTTTCATTATTTATAATAACCCTAAGGTCTTCAGAATAAAATAATTTATTGCTAACTGGTTATTTCAAGTAGATTATAATCATCGAATATTTTGCATAAGGTGAATTTGGTCATTTTCGCCGTTCTTGAGACATGATGCAAACAACAAGAATTCGTGCTGTATATATATATCCTAAGCGAAATGATAACTTTCTTCCATTAGCGTGAACAGATATATTTTAATGATCGAACAACGATATATTTGTATTGAAATCAGAAGATGCTGGCTAAGGTCAACCAAAGGCATAACTGCTGATTTAGTACTTCTTTGTGATAGTGGTAGAAAAATCTTGTGATATTTGTTAAGTGACAAAATAGAAACAAAAAATTAACCATACATTAATAATTAAAAATAAGTTATTAACTAAAGTTGATTTTGTAATAATTTTAATTTATGAATAACAATTTTAATTTACATTTAGGAGAAGAAGAAAAAAAAGGAGTATTAAATATAATTTTTGTTATTCTTCAAATTACTGTTTGTTGATATTGTTCTTAAATATGAAGTATTTAAGTTTTTCTTATCCAGTTTTTCTTTAGTTCTCAATAAATATCGATTGTAGTGTTTGAGTTTTTCTCATTGTTAAAAACGATTTAATTATTCTTTTTGTAGCTTTCTTTGTAAGTTTTTGTGATAATTAAAAGCAACGTAAAATACCTTTTTTATATTTTTTGTTTCCTTCGCAAAAATAATAACAACTCTTTAGTTTAAGATACATCTTTCTTTACTCCCTCGCTTACATTAATTCTACATTTACTTATGATATTAATGATCACATTTTGATCACATTATTAATCTTGATCACGATCATCAATTTTGATCACAATATTAATCTTAAATAAAACATAGTTTTTAAGTTTTTGATTTGTAAAAATTATGCACTTAGCTAAAATTACTCTTAAAATTTAAAATCTACTCACCAACTATGTAATCATATTCTGAGTCAACTTTGTCGGTTGAAATAGGAACTAAATATTCCGAACCGAACACATATAATAATGTGGCCAAAGGTACAAGAGCTGGTAAAATAGGGGCCACATCCGGCATGTTGTGACACGGGCCCTCTTCGAATAAATACTTAAAATTCCTGAAATGTTATTTTAAATCACTTTATCCAAGCCCCCGTGCAATATTTGCAACAGTTGGGGATGCCTTACGCACCCACATTCTTGTTCCATTCCGGAGTTCTTCCGGCGATCCGTCTAATCCCTGTTTCCCTTTGCTTGTTTGTCAGTTGGAATTCGACAAGAACTTTGGTCTCGCTTCAAAGAATCGAGCTCAAAAACGCGTGCACCATCTGCTATATCTGATCCGATTCTGAAACACCGTGTGGAGAGGCCCACTGCTTGCCTTGAACTTGACCGAGTCTTGCTTTTTCGAATTTCGTACGCGGGCCGACGACCGGTTCTGGCGAAGTCACAGATTCTGTTTGGCGAATAGATGAAAGATTCTTCTTTTTTTGATGATGGTGAGAGGGTTTCTTGATGAAGATGATTTAGTATGCATCTCTGCATGTCCCTCGAAAACACCGAGTGTCCTACATCCGTTATGCAGGTGGAAGAGGTTGCTAGCCCCGTTATTGAGGATGCTCTGGGTGGTGGTGGTCGTTATCATCCGCTGAAGATGACCGTAAGCATTGAAAATGAGTGTTAGGCACACAATGAAATTTTAATCACTACTCTCACTGCTAATGTTAAATATTCAACATTGTTATTTGTAATAGATGCGGCGAGAGTTTTCCTTTAGTAATTAGGTAAATGCCATTCACTGTTTCCAGTTATGGTCAGTTGGCATTCTGAGTTACAGCCGTTCTCTGTTAAAGTAAAGGAAACTACTTTTATTTATATATATATATATTTTCGGTTATAATACAGTTTCTATGGGCCTCTATGCGGAATCTTTGCATATACAGAAACATGTATCAAATGCAGGGAAATATATGTTAAAGTATCGGTGTAGTCTATAATATAAGAAAGAATAAATTGTTTCTGTTTAAAAAATCCTATAACGTTGAAACATGTGTTTTAAAATAAAGGGGAAAAAAACTTAATGTTCGAACATATGTTCTAAAATAGATAGAAGAATTGTATATTATAGTAAGTTAAAGTTGAACTGCAATAATACACTGCTTATATATACTGCTTCACAATCTCTATTACAGCATATGGAAAAATATGAGGATAGGAAAAATAATATAATGAAGGAAAAATATGCGTTTAGTAATAAAAAAAAATGCTGTACAGGAAAATGTGTATTGAAATATTCTATAATAAAGGAATAAATCGTTTAAATATATAAAATTTTACGTTAAACGCATCAAATTGTTGTCAGCTAAAATGAAGGATAACTAAATAACACAGGAAGTTATATGTGGAAGAATCAGAATTTTGTGTAACATAATAATATATATTGTAATATAAGTAAATTTGCATTAACTTGTTTCTACAATACCAAAGTGTAGGAAAAATATGTGCTAAAGAACAATAAAATACAATCAAAATATGAGGGGAAGTGTTAAAAATATACATAAGTAAAATATGTAATTAAAGTCTGGAAATCTACATGATATACGAACATATGTGTAAATGCAATATAGGAAGTTAAACCATAATCCTACATAGGAATATAAAGTCAAACCATAATCCTACATAGGAATATAAAGTTAAACTATAATCTACGAGCATGCAGAAAAAGTATGTGTTAGAGAAATAATATAATATAGAAAAAATATGCGTTGAAGTACAGAATTATTATGTATCATAGATAATTAAAGTCGAAGACCTTACATTCAAGCTTTCTATGATACTACTATATTAAAGAAATATTTTAGAAAGTAAACTAACAAATATATGAAAATTTGTTAAAATGTTAGGCATAGTTTATGTAAAATGTGGTATAAACGTCTCGACAACAACATGATATGAAAAACAGATTTTTTTAAGAATAAAAAACTGTATTATCTAGAAAAATAATATTGTTACGTTGGAAAAATCTACTTTAATATTTTATACTATGACAGGTGTTAGAATTCGCTTGAAACCTTTATATACTTCTTAAATTATCATATAAAAAAAATTTGTAATCCAAAAAGACAATTTACGTCTATTTTATTGATACGAGAAAAATATTTAAACAAATATAAAATCAAATTATAGAACTCAAATGGTACTCTGGAAAATATATGTATGATTTTTTAGATAAGTAATGTAGCCAATTAATTTCAACAAGTATGCTATAGAAAATAATTCAGATACAGAAATTACTCATTAAAATAATCACTTTTAAACTGCAAACTTCGTAGCGCCTTTTCTCGGTTTTCTTTTTTAAATTATGGTGCACCTTTTAAGCAAAAGCTGTTTTTTTTTCATTGTTCTCTTAATTTTGCATCAATTTTTAAAGTCAGTTGTTTAACAGCAATTTTCGTACGTACCAAAAGTCAAAGTGAAATGTAGTCTCTATAGTGCACATTTAACTTTTAAAGTAAATTATCCGAGAAAAGTAGTCTAGTTACTAAAACAATACGGTAGCTATCTTCTCATCCATTCCCTACCAGTTCTACAATATATTTTATTAATCTGATTCTTAAAACCGTTTGCTTTCTATAATGGAATAGCAAAGGCATACGGTTAGAATTTTCATTCCAAAATTATGGTAAAATGACCGACAGCAGTCTGTACATCCAATTAACCATAAAGTTAAGGCAAATAAAATATTTTACCTTTACAGTTTTGAAGCCATTTACAACTAGTATGGTTATAAAACCATAAAAAAGAAATTTTACTATACATAGGAGCTAGGCTATTCTTTGTGTAATGGACATTGCAGAATGCAGGACACAAATTGGGTAGTGCAGGCCATTACAAACTCTTCATGCGCTGAAGAGAAACGGAGAAATATTGTGGTTATCAACGCTGGAACTTGAACCTCGGTTCTGTCGGTCATGACACTTATATATTTTCCCTCTCGACTATATGTAGGGGAGAGGGGGGCACATGTAAAAAAAAATCTTATTTCTTCATTTTTCAAAAAATATCATCAATTTCTCACAATAAAGAAGTCTATATGTTTAAATAATCTTTTCTTTGTGTTATGGAATTTTTTGAGATTTTCAATAAAATATTTCCTTACTTTATGATATTTTAGAAAAATGACTTCAATTGTTCACATGTGCCCCTATAAGGAGCACATGTGAACATGCCTGGGACATATATGAACAAGATTAAAAGCACGAAGCGATCATCATATTTAAAAGAAGTTTTTTTATTAGTATAACAGATATCGATGCATATTTTACTGAAGGGGTTGTAGCTTATTATGTGAATTTAAATTGTACAACAGTACTGTCAATAAGAAAAAAAAATTTCCGCTGTTGGGTTTTTCAAAACTTCATGTTCCTCATTAGTTGTAATGGGCCTTTTTCTCTCTTCTCTGATACTCTTTCATGCTTTTTTTTTTTCTTCATTCTTTCTATCTTTTCATTTGTATCTTTAACAATTCTATCTTTCTCAGGTGTATCAGTTAATATGAGCGATGCGTGATCAACCATTCAACAAAAAAAAATTTAAAGAAAAAATTAACAATTAATAAATTAATTACCGGAAAACTAAATAATAATTTTAAATGCATACATATTTTTTAAACTTATAATATCGTGAGGATAATAATCTTAATATAGGGGCACATGTGAACTGTTCACATCTGCCCCAGATGTTTTGTTCGCAAGTGCCCCTTCATCTTTCTTAAACATAACTTGAAAAATAAAGAATTTTTAATTGAGTAGAAGAAAATAATACTTATCATAAACTTACCTGAATGTTCATATAATGGTCTGCAATAGTTAATTTTAGCTTATTAGTTGATTTATACTATGCTTTCACTTGAAGAAGCAAGTGATTATAATATATACAATACCAGCTGATACAAAGAAATTGTCAGAATAGAACAACAAAATGGCTCATTGTTCTGAAAGTTTTTCAGAGAGGTAGGTCTAGTACTGCCATCAATTGAAAATTTTTCAAGATTTTTTATTTTGAATCATATTGGTAAGACATACCATATTCCTCCTGTTCACGTGTGCCCCCCTCTCCCCTACGCGGTTGCAAGGAACTAAGTTATTTCATTAGGTGGGCTTAATTGGTGCGATAAAATTCTGGTTGTTTAACCGTATTAGGTGAAAGCAGGTAATAAAGGTTTTTTTTCCACAATTAACCGTTTGTTTACCATCTTATTCATGATTACTTGATCGCTCTATCTGAATATGGTGAAATAACAATTAAATAAATTATNACTATAATGTGTAGGGGAGAGGGGGGCACATGTGAACAAATTTTTTTATTTCTTCATTTTTCAAAAAATATCATCAATTTCTCACAATAAAGAAGTCCATATGTTTAAATATTCTTTTCTTTGTCTTATGGAATTTTTTGAGATTTTTCAATAAAATATTTCTTTACTTTATGATATTTTAGAAAAATGACTTCAATTGTTCACATGGGGCACGTGTGAGCATGTCTGGGGCACAAATGAACAAGATTAAAAACGCAAAGCGATCATCATATTTAAAAGAAATTTTTTTTTGTTAGTATAACAGATATAGATACACATTATACTGAAGGGGTTGTAGCTTACTATGTGAATTTAAATTGTACAACAGTACTGTGAATAAGTAAGAAAAAAATTTCCGCTGTTGAGTTTTTCACAACTTCATGTTCCTCATTAGTAGTAATGGGCCTTTATCTTTCTTCTCTGATACTCTTTCATGCTTTTTTTTTCATTTTTTCTATATTTTCATTTGTAGCTTTAACAATTCTATCTTTCTCAGGTGTATCAGTTAATATGCGTGATGCGTGATCAACCATTTAATTTAAAAAAATAACAATTAATAAATTAATTATGGAAAACTAGATAATAATAATTTCAAATGCATATATATTTTTATAAACTTGAGGATAATAATCTTAAAACTATGTAGGGGCACATGTGAACTGTTCATATCTGCCCCAGATGTTTTGTTCACAAGTGCCCCATCATCTTTCTTAAACATAACTTGAAAAATAAAGAATTTTTAATTGAGTAAAAAAAATGATAATTGTCATAAACTTACCTGAATGTTCATATAATGGTCTGCAGTAGTTAATTTTAGCTTATTAGATGATTTATACTATGCTTTCACTTGAAGAGGCAAGTGATTATAATATATACAACACCAGCTGATACAAAGAAATTGTCAGAATAGAACAACAAAATGACTCATTGTTCTGAAAGTTTTGCAGAGAGGTAGGTCTAGTACTACCATCAATTGAAAATTTTTCTAGATTTTTTATTTTGAATCATATTGGTAAAACATACCATATTCCCCCTGCTCAAATGTGCCCCCCTCTCCCCTACGAGGTTGCAAGGAGCTAAGTGGCTTCATTAGATGGGCTTAATGGGTGCGATAAAATTCTGGTTGTTTAACCGCATAAAGTAAAAACAGTTAATAAAGGTTTTTTTTCTCCACACTTAACCGTTTGTTTACCATCTTATTCATGATTACTTGATCGCTTTGTCTGAATATGGTAAAGTAACTATTAAATAAATTATTTAACTATTTTTCTAGAGAAATTTCTATCAGTGCATTTATTCGTCAAACAAATTTCTTTTGTTTGATATCTCGCAATTAGTGAGTACTGATCTCAATAACTGAGTACTCATCGCAATAAATGAGTATACTCTGAGTACACATTTTTTTAGTTTAAAGTTATGTTACCCAATTATTTGTGTTAATCTATATGTTACATTTTACTTATTACTTCTTATGAAATTCGCATCCCTAAAACATGTGCAATAAGCATTTCTTAGAAAATAGTTCATTCAAAAACAAAACGCTTCGTTAAATTTCAGTATACATTTTTTACAGAGACCAATAGCGTTATTTCACCTAATTATTTCTATAGAAATCTAAGGAAAGCATCTACATCAAACCCATATAATGGCAAGAATAAAAAAAATATTGCAAATTTTCTTAGATAGCAAAATATGTTATCTAAGAATGCATAAAAGAGTATTTCATTACCTATTTTATTTTGCATTAATCAAGTTCAATCCATAATTTCAAAAATGTTTCAACTTGACTCGTTATGACATTCTTATGATTTGTGTTGTATAGATTTCAAGTTACAGGAGAGGAAATAGCTTTAAAGAATGTTTCTTCTTTTCAGTTCAAACAGGTGCTTAGGTCACAAGAAGGTTACGAGGAAGGAAATTGCTAATTAATCAGCAAATTCATCAAGATGCTTAAGATGACTGGTTTTCAATCAACTTCAGTATGTGTCATCTGTACAAAAATTATATTTAATCAACATAATAGATTAATACGATGTTGAGAAGGATTACTTTTTCTTAAATCGCCCTTACAAAAAAATTCTAAATAAAGTAATAGCAGAAATTTTTTAATTCATATAAACTTAAGTTGATAAATACCAGTGAAATTAATCATACACTGTAAAAAATTCCGAATTAAATTACGGTATAAGTACCGGAACATTGGTTGCATCATCCATATAACCCATTTTATCCTAAGAACTATCTTTACCCTAAAATATTTTACCGTAATTGTTAAAGTAATATTTACTATAAAAATTATGGTTTAATAGAATACTTGCTCCGTAACATGATTTGGTAAAAATGAATTTTACAGTAAAAAGGTACTTATTACAGTAATTTAAACCGGATTTTTTTACAGAGTAGATAAGGATGCATTCTTAGACTGCTGTATGCATATTTAATTATCTAAATTGTTAAGAGAAACCATAAAAACACTTTTCGAATAGCCAAATAATTTTTATTTGATTACTTATTTGTTGTTCTTCCAATAATAATATATTACAGTAGAGAACCGATTATCCGGAACAATCGGGACTATCGCTATTCCGGATAACTGATTTTTCCGGTTTTCTGAATCGCTACAAAAAGCCGTTTTTTTAGTGTTAAACCTAACTAAAAAATAAAATAAATATTNGTAGATAAGGATGCATTCTTAGACTGCTGTATGCATATTTAATTATCTAAATTGTTAAGAGAAACCATAAAAACACTTTTCGAATAGCCAAATAATTTTTATTTGATTACTTATTTGTTGTTCTTCCAATAATAATACATTACTATTTACAAGCTTCATAACTTTATTTTTTTTAAATATTTATTATTATATAATGATAATTGTACAATATTTGTATAATATTTTGATATATATATTGATTATAATATTTGTATAACATATTGATATTTGTATAATATTGTTGCCTATTGATTGGTTCATTAAATAATTACTGATTGTCTTTTAAGAAACATTAAAACAAACGAAAAAATAAGTTTTAAGGTGCTGTTAGTGTTTTTTCAAATTAAAATTAAACTACAACTAGCTACAACACATGAAGAGAGGTTAAAAACAAATAAGTAAGAAATTAAGTTCTTGTTTAAAATATCATTTCGAAACAATTGCCAATATCACCGTTGGGGGGAGGGTTTAAAATGAATGAGGTGACACGCAAAATTTACAACTGTTCTTTGTCCTTAGACAGTATAAAAACCCTATGGGGCTAGTTGTACCTTTGTTACAACATCCTAATTTGATTAAAATTGGAACTTTTAAAATTTATATGAGTTTAAAACAGTCATACAATTTACTTCTGTTTTTAAATAGTGCCATTGTAGTTTTTGACATTTACTGTACATAAATATAATACTCAGTGTCAAACGAAGAAATATTGACTTAACCTCATAAATATCAACAAAAAAGACGCCGAAACCACTTTTTTTCCCCAGCAAACTGGAAATACTTTGTCTATTTTCCAATTTCATTAAATGCAGGAAATTAAATGTTGATATTTGCTGCAATTAGAAATTATTGCCAAAAAATCACAAACAATTGACCTGGTGTGAGAGGTCAAGATGAATAAAAAGAGGGGGGAGGGAGAAAGAAATAGCTGAAAAATTGACAAAAAGTACATTGTTCAAAACTTTAACGTCTTTTCTTTAATATAATTTACTTATGTTTTTAAAATTGAATGGAAAATTACATAACTTAATAGCATTTAGTGTTTACTAGCAAAACAATAGTTAACAATACCTTGTCTTGGCTTTTTTTCACTTTCCCGTGTTTAAAATATTCCCAGGATTCTAATTTTTATATATACACTGAGAGAAAAAAATGCAAGGTCAAGACTACCTGATTATGGTAAAATTCTCTGTGTTTTTAGATCTATGAGAACTCCAAAAAACTCGGTGCTTCCGGATAGTAAATTTGCCAAAATCAATAATAAAATATTGTTTTATAGTGTGTGATAAAATTTGGAAAATCTGGTGAAATTTGGTCATTTTATCATGAAACTTTAAAACATGGCATAAAAAAACATTTTTTCGGTTAAATTTACTTTGAATTTCTTACTAAATGTATGGTAATAAGAACTATAATTTTGAAATCCAGAAATTTCCGGGAAACCCCATTACTATATGAACAAAAAAATGACCAAATACATGGTTTATGTACCAATGACCAGATGACTGGTTATGGTATATTTTAGTCTTATTAACCAGAATTATGGTTTTTGTTCTTCCGAATTTGTCATTGCCATGCAGTTCGGTAATTTAATCAGATTTTTTTCTTTCGAGTAATTATGGTGATTTATATTTTCACTTGATTCAGAAAATCATAAGAAACAATTGTAATATGGAGTCAAGAAATATTTTCCCGAACTCTTATTAACAAATGCTTGAAATACAAACATAATTTTTAAAATTATCAACAATTGTAGGATTATTAGACAATTTAAAGAACAAATACGATAGCTGTAATTTTTTGAAATACGTTTTTGTCTAAAAAAAAATTTTTTTTTAACTGAAAACAATAAAAATAAAATATTCTTAGAGTCAAACTTACATTCTAATTTTCATTTTCGAACTTGTACCTTATGGATTGACAACAACTTTAAGCATTATATAACGTTTACTGTGTTTTCTTATTTAGAGGCTTAAAAAAAGAAATAAACTAAAGATTTCTCATTCTTAATTTTGCTTTTTTACATTTCTATACGCGACGAGCTTCCAAAATCATTATTTAATTTTGTTTTCTTTGAAAAATAAAAACAGTTTTAAAAACTATTTAAGGGTCAGTCAGTCTTACTTTCTAAACTGTTTTCTTTTTTTAAAAATATAAGAATAAAAGAATGTTTTGATTTCTTTATTAACTTAATTTTTTTATGATTTCATGAACGATAATTTTAAGTTATCTTTTCAAATTTTCATTTTGAACTTTTGCCTTGGAAAATTAAAGTTTAAAAAGAGTTGTAGTAATTTTTTTACTAATAATATAAGGAAAAAGGAACTTAATACTATCTTTCAATCCTAATTTCACATTTTTCCGATTATATAAATAGTGTGTTATTTCAGTATCATTTTCTACTCTTCATTTCTCAAACTTATATTTTAGGAAATAATATCGGTTTTAATAATTATTTATTAGTCAATGGTAGTATTTTTTTACTTATATGGCTTTTTAAAAGAAAAAAAAGCGAGGACGGTGCAGTTCTTTATGTATTTTTTATGATTCTGTAAATAACAAGTTCTTATAAACATTTTGTTCTTTTCATTTTGAAATTCGTACATTAAGAAATAAAATCAATTTTAAAAATTATTTGTGAGCCAATTGCAGTCATTTTCTTGTCAAAATGATTTTTTTTTTTAAATGAAACCTAATTATAGTTATTCTTCCATCTATATGGCATTTTACCCTTTGTGTACCGATGGGACTTTGACATCAGTCTAATATTATTTCCATATAGTATTGAAGTAGAACAAAATATGACTTTCCATACATTATTACTAGTTGACAACACAAGTTAAACATCAACTCAAATTTACTATTGATATTTCGTTCGACGACGTCTTTTTACGATTCCTCAATTTCCTTCTTCGATTCTCATCTAAATCAATTCTTATCTAAATCAATTTTGCAAGTGAGGCTTTCATATCTTTCTGTTGATTTATTAACATTTTCAATTAGTTCTTAAACAAATTATTAAATGTTTGACTTTAATTAAATTTCATAACATGGTGGGTAAGTTCCAAATTAAAAATTTCATGGAAACTTAGAAAATAATATTGAATATTAAAAAAATATTTGTCAAAGTGTTAAATAGACATAATTAAAATTTATACAAAAAATTTCGTACATTTTTTGAAATTTTTTATTTAAAATTTGGTAAATAAAGGGTTGAAAAAGAAAGACATAGCTTTGCGTTGTAATTCTTATTTCTTTCTTTCTTTATGTACGTATTTATTGCAGCAAATAATTACCAGATCGAGATTTTTTTGATTTCAGAGAGTCCTTTCATACATAATAATCGTGCATCTGATAAAACTAAACAGTATTTGCGTTACACGAAGAGGAAAGCTACGAAAACCTCCCACGATTAACATAACGGCAAAGAGACATTAACCCATGATCCATCCATTACTGAGGATATTTTCACGCCAGTATTATGGTTGGTGCAAGCCGGGTGCGGAATGCGTATCGTTCAATTGTCGCTGGAATTCGAGTCACCTCATTGGGAGGCGAGCACTCTATCCCCTGAGCCACCACGGTTCTTAAGCCAGTAGTTGACGTTTTCTTACCAATCTGGTGTTAAAAAAAGAAAGAAACAATTTCATGAAGTCATTTTTTTTTTACCTTAGTATATCCAAAGAACGCAGTTGTTTATTACTATCCAACAAAGGTAGAGTGTGCAATCTATTACTCATAAAAACTAATTGGTTGTACAGAAACTTGTCAAATAAGCGTGAAACTCATTTCAATGGATAATCCAAATTCTATGGTTTTATCCAATTAACCAAGAATATTAAATAAAGATGTACATTGCTGCACAGTAAATGCTTAGTTTTCACGGTAGCTAGTTTTTATTGTTTTACGGAAGCTTAAATTGCTGCAAATGAAGCGCAGCATAGTTAGAAGTGAAAGATCACTCATAAAAAAAAGTTGTTGCAACATAATAAAAGGAATAAGTGTTAATTGTGCATTAAAACTTGGCATGAAAATAAAAAATAAACTAAGTTTGTTCTTTGTATAACGTGTGTTTATCTTCATTATAGAATTCGATTTTTTTTTTAAAACTACAAATGCCTAACTATCAGAGTTCGAAAAATTTTGATCCATAGTGTTTTTAAATCATCGAAATTACTTTAAACTTTTATCTGAAACAATATATGAATTAAATAAATTAAATTATGTTCAAATTCGTTAATATTTTGCTTTAGCTTTAATCATATTGTTACACTGTTAAGGAAAAATATGTGTCTACATTTTGATTTCTAATCTTTAGCTAGAAATTCTTTTGCAGCATGAATGAGAATATATTCGGAAACAAAATTAAATATTTAACTATTTAATTATTTATATTATTAATTTAAATTATTTAATGACTTAGACTATTAGTAATTTTTCAGAAAACGTGCTTTCAGTTCACGCAAAAAAACTTTTCTATTATGCGTCTTTGTCAATGATAATTTATTTTATCGGATGTTTACTTATAATTCTTACTCCACGAGTATTGCATATTATTATATTCCATAGTATCTTTAGCTTTAAAAGATAGACATAAACTTAAATTGTTACTATCTTTAAAAAAAATAAAAATTAAAAAAACGCTTATTATACTTAATTATTTTTGATCAAGAGATCCCATGTTGCGAAAGTCAATCTATGCCGTTGAATACTACAGATAAGCAAAGCTGATGTAACTTGATTGTAAAGTTGTTAATATCTATAACATTTAGATTTGCGAGAAGAAATATTATTTATATATTTATATAAATATTATTATACTACATTTTTATAAAACATTATTATAATATATTTAAAATATTCATATAAA